AGGGATTTCATCGTGCACCAAAGAGTCCTTCAGACAGTCTTTAGGACTTCTAAAGTGGCCGTGGCCATGGCCTTAACGAATGCTTCACGTATTTTAATAAAGGTTTCTTCCACATGGTTATGGCCGTTTTGTGTTGCCCCGCCACATGCGGCTAGTTTAAGGAAAAGAATAACTTTAGGGAATATATTGTTCTATATATTATTCCTTCAAGTGCAGGGGATCCGAGAGAAGCATTTTCCCACTTCTTCGATTTACCCCTCCTGCTTGACGGCTCCTCAATAGGATAGGCTCCAGAAAAAAACTGATCATAGCAAGTTTGTGCTTCTGTGTGAAGAAAAATAAAATCCATACTCCTTCCATGCTCTTCAAGTAGCACACGTTTCGCGACCAAATTCTGGCCTCTAATAGTTTTTGCACTATTTTGCCAAATTTCAATCCTCAGTGAAACACCTATATATTATTTCAAGTCCTTTAATTTCTATTAGACTTGGTTTTTTAAATTGTGGTAAAGTACATGCAACATAAAATTTATCACTTTAATCATTTTGAAGTGTACATTCAGTGGCATTAAGTACATTCACAATGTTGTACAACCATCACCAACATCCATCTCCAGAAGGCTTTTCACCTTGCAAAGCTGAAACTCTATCCAGGAAGTAGCAAATTCCCAGTCTCCCCACCTCCTAGCCCTGGGAACCACTATTCTACTCTTCTCTCTGTGAATTTTACAGTTGTAGGTAACTCCTATAAGTGGAATCATATAGCCATATGTCCCTTTGTGACTGCCTTATTTCCTTAATGTTCATCCATTAAGGATGCAACACGTGTTGCAGCATGTGGCAGAATTTCCTTCCTATCTAAGGCTGAATAATATTCCATTACATATATATAGGACGTTTTGTTCCCCTATTATCAGTTGAGTTGCTTCGGCCTTTGGGCTATTGTGAATAATGCTGCTATGCACACGGGTGCTCCAATATCTATTTGAGACCTTGCTTTCAATTTCTTGGGGTATATACCCAGAAGTGGTATTGTTGTATATTAATTCTATTTTCAATTTTTTGAACAACCCCACTTTGTTTCCTATAGTAGTTGTAGACTTGTTTTTAAAATCTGGGTTTACATTATCCATACTCAGTATGGATAATTCACTCAGACTGGTAGGATTCTATACTGTCTTTCTCTGAGATCAGTCACCTCATTTGAGGACAGTTTTCTTTCCCTAATCCAGGTATAATCACATGTCCTGGGCTATGGCTAATTCATAGGTTAATGTCCCAATGACAGCAACTGCACATATGTTTACCACAGACACAGTAAAAATTCAATCCTAAACTTTAAATTTTTGTATACTTTAAAAATTATCTTCTCTGAGGCCGAACGCCTCATAAATGCATATGGAAGGAAAGAACATTCACATTCCTTTGGCTGTTAGCTAGCTAGATCCATGATCAAAACTTACTGCATTTTATCCTGAACCGCCTCAGACAAGGTCCAAGTGAAACATGCATTTTTAGTTTTCTGTTTTTCAAAATGACAGCCCTTTATTGGCTTTTATAGTTAAAATAATACAGAAGTGTTCAAAGCCTGTCCCAAATTCCAACTCCCTCTAATAATCATTTAACAATTTAATGTTCTCCTTGACTTTCAAATTACATCCTAACATGTATGTTATGTATAATATTCGGGATCCTGCTTTTAATCCACACCAGCACTATGGACTGGTAAGGGCCCAAAACATACACTGTATCTCTTGTTTCATCCTTATTATTGCCTACTATTCTGTCCATCTAAGATTGCCTCTTTACACTCCCCAGATAGTAGTCAATTGTTTTCTGTGCTCCCTCAGTCATTGCAAACATTTCCGTTGTTGAGCCTACTGCATTCAATCTTAATTTATTTTCATGTCTGTTTCCCTTACCAGAAGTGAATTCTCCAGAAGCAAAAATCTGGGTTTAGAGCAATCTTTTTTTCCCTTTAATGTTATTTTTAATTTTTATCAGAGTATGCATGTCTGTGATTTAGTGCCAAATAATTCTGTAGAAATCTTATAAATTGCAATGAAAGAGCAGAGACTGTACCCCCCCTTGCCAATTTCCCCCTCCTTAAAGGCAGTCATTTTTGTCTTTTAACTGGTTATTTTGATATTTACTTTCAGTTCTCTATATAAAATGTTTGCATTGCTAGTTCTCGATTTCTCACTTCTAGGCATTATCTGTTGATTTCACTTAGTGGGAAATGAGGATTTAGTTCTTCTTTCTTTCCCTATCCTTTTCCCCACTGCCACCACACTTTTCATCCTTTGATCTGCTCAATCTAGTTATATTGTCCTTTTTTAATAGGTTTTTGTTTACTTCATTATGATTAGGTAAACATTACTTACATCTTGGGCCAAGTAGTATATACTATGATCACTTTTCTTCTCCTGCTCAGCTTTTTGTTTTTCCTGCAGTTATTATCTTGTTTTGGTTTACTATCCATCACCAAGCCAAGCCCAAACTTTTTAACGATTGTTTCAATCTCTGCTTCCCAAGACTTAGATAGACGAGGTTTCTATCAGTTTCATCTGAAAATGGAGTCTCTTCTGGGCCTTCTGGACCTGTACCAATCCATGTCTAGTGAAGAATTGTTGTCAGGGCCTCTCAAATCATTTTTCTCCTGCATTATATCTTCTGTTTCCTATATCCTATATCTTCTTTTTTTCTTTGTTTAGTCCCTCATTTTAGTAGAGCACAACCTCCAGAAGCATCCTGAGGAAGGAAAAGTAAATGAAAGGGAAATTTTTTGAGATCTTTGAATGTTTGGACATACCTTTATTGTTTACCCACACTTGATTGGTATTTGACTCATCAGGTGTAGAATACTAGTTTGAAATAAATCTCCTTTTGAAATTTGATAGAATTTGCTCCTATGGGGTACCTGGGTGGCTCAGTCGGTTAAGTGTCAGAATTCGGCTCAGGTCATGATCTCACGGTTTATTGAGTTCAAGCCCTGAATCAGGCTGGCTGCTGTCAGCGCAGAGCCCGCTTTGGATCCTCTGCCCCCTTTCTCTCTGCTCCTCCCTCGCTCACGCTCTCTCTCAAAACTGAATAAACATTTAAAAAAAAAAAAAAAGAATTTGCTCCTATGTCTTCTAGCTTTCTTTGTGACTGTTGAGAAATTGAAAGTTATGTTCACTCTTGACTCTTTGTTAAGTGATCTGTTTTTCTCTCTAGAAGCTTAGGATTGTCTGTTCCC